ATTTATTTACTTACTTACTTACTTATTGTTTCATCTTCAACTGCTTGTAATTTTAATTGTCTTGAGTGTGCATAGAAATGATACCACACATGTTTATGTTTAACTAAAAGAACTTAGAGTAATTAAAGTAGAAAAATGTGGGGTTGGGCTTAAGAGCTGAATAAACCAATTGGCGGGCCGAACTTTGGTCACTCGCGGGCCACATCCGGCCCGCAGGCTGCCAGTTGAATAACCCCACTTTAAGCATTTGCCATTAAGTATACTAAAGTATATAAAAGTGTATTTCCATAATTGTACTTTTATTTACCATATACACCAATATAAGTATAGCAGTTTACTAATAAGTATACTTCTAGGACTAAATGGGCCCAAAATAAGTTTATGAAATTATACTGAAAGGAATCTTCTACGTATACTTTTAGTTTATTCTTGAAATATACTACAAATAAACCAGTCTGTGTGAAAATGTACTTTCAGTGTACTACTAAAGTTTATCTTAGCCAAAAGTTTAAACATTAATATACTTAAACTTTTAGTACACTTTTAGTACAAGCCAAGTATAGTGTAAGATAAACTTGGTTAGAATATCTCRGATAAGTACATAAAAGTAAACTGGAAGTATACTCTTTTGTTTTTAGTTTCAAATTAGTACTTAATGGATACTTGCATATACTACTTTTTGCTAAGAGCAGTCATGTCTCCTTTCMAAAAATAAAAATGGCTTCATGTGTTTTAAACCTTGCCTGAGAATCCACAGAAACATAGACTAACATCGGTTTCAAACTGCATCRATACTAAAGTTACAGGTTTGATGCTTCCAATATGTTACAAAAACAAAATGCTGCAACAGAGCAAAATGCTAACGTAGCATCTTCATCTGTTCTGAAAACAGCCCTGCAGTGTGAACCTTATTTGCCCCAWGCTGCATTGTGTTTGCTTCGGTTCGGATAGAAGTTCTGGGCGGTTGCACCATGACCGTCCCACCCATACTGAGGTGGCACACAAGTTATCCTGGAAACTGCCCCAGGCCGTGTAGACCCGAATAAAGCTGTGGTTTGACTGGACAATGGGAAAAATGGCATTTGAGAGCCAGGCTAAAAAAAAAAAAGACCTAAACAACTCTCCATTGTGAGCAGAGTGAGTTAATCTGACTCTAGTTTACATGAGAGTGTCTCATGTAGCTTAAAAGCTTTCTTCAGGTTTGTTTTTTTAATTGAGAAAGCTCCTCATGGGACGGGACATGCTTTATACTACAGAACAGAAGTCCAGTTTTGTTTAGTGTTTTCTTCTCCACATAACCTCTCCTGAAACTGCAGAGAAAAAGAAAAAAAATCCAAACAGGTGAGTCAAAATAGCTCTTTGAGAATAAAGAGACCAGATTCAGCTGTACCCACTATCAGTCAGCTAGTGTTCTCTCAGGCGCTTTCTTATTTTTCTGGAGGATTCGGATGCTATTTGGAAACACGACTCAGACAGACAACACATCTTGTTGCATCACGGCTGACAGTGGAGGAGGTGAGGGATTGACTTTGAGGCTTTTGCTGGAAGGAGCGGTGACAGAGTACATGAGTTTCAATCTTGGTGCAGCCGGCTACTGGAAGCAAGGCAGGCAGACAAGACAGGAAAGCACACACACAGAGAGAGAGAGAGAGATCTGAATAAGGAAGCACATTGCAAAATAATGTTTGTTTAGTCTGCATTTCCTCYCAGCGACGACCGGGAACTGAACAGAATACAAGAATAAATGTGCACCTCAGCAGACGCGGTTGCACAAATCAGAAAAGTGATGCAAATCACCGCCGGAGCTTATCCTCTGATCACTTGTGCAGCTATGAAGTGGAAGTGCAGCAATGCAGTGCAGAATGGAGCACTGGCTGGATTGCTGATGACAGGTGGGATGCTGCAGAGGAGGAGAGCCCCCTGTAATAAATCTCCAAGCTTTTTTTTTTGTTTGTGTGTGTGTGTGTGTGTGTGTGTGTGGCAGCCTCTACATTTCTGCAGGGAAAATAACAACCAATTACAGCACTTCATCGATTTGCACAGGGGGTACTTTAGAGAGGAATGATATAGATTAAGTTGATAGCTGATAGTGATCTCTCTCATCCTGAACACAAACAGCCTGTTAAAGTAAACATAAACAGCAGTTGTTGGTTTGAAGGTAAATCCTAAACACAAGGGGAAAAAAAGAGACTTCAGGTGTCGCCCTCGTGGAATTCTTGTATGCAGAGAAACCCCACCATTATGCGCTCCATTTCTCCTTCCCAATACCTCCCCCCACCCCCCTCACTTCCACTGCACACAGTAAATCCAGAGCCTGCAGTGCCTGATCGCASCAACCCCAAAAAAGATCTACAAGATGCATAAGTGAACTCTCAGCGTTCACAGAGGAGAAAGGGAGCTGGGCTCTTTCATGCCAGGCAGGGCAGGAACACGTGGACYGGACAAGTGAGCTGGGGTCAAGTTCTAGAAGAGATACAGAGCAGGAAAACCTTCTTCTTTTTTTTTTTTTTCAAATTCCACCGGCGCCAGAGCATCAGCTGGTACCGAGCTGCAGGAGCAGGAGGCAGAAGAGCTGCTGGACAGCTAAAAAGGGAGCAGAGGACTGGAAGTGATAAGATGAGAAGGTGAGTTATGAACGCGTTTTTAAAGGCTTCTTTTAAGGTTGTTGTTGCTTTCCAATCAGACACACCCTGGTCCGCAAAGAAGCACTGCAGCTTCAGCAGTGCAGAGCTGCTCCCCCCCTACAGCTGTGTCTTTGCCTGCCTTTGGAGCAGCTGATACATGAGTTCTCTGTGGAGTCGTTAATAAAAGCCCATCTATTGGGCTAATTTTTTTCCTCCTCTGAGAGCCCGGGACTGAGTCAACCGACAACCGCCAGTGACTGAACACGAGCCGATGCCAGGGAAAATCACTGCAGGGATTCATCTTTCTTTCTGCCGGGTGATATGTCTCAATAGAGTTTAAATGTTAATAGAGAAACAGTGCTTTTACAGTTTGAGGTGTAGTTTGCTCGTGAAGCACATTTATTTGTAGGGATAGCGCTTGAAATATGTGTACAATCTGTCAGTAGAAGCCTCATTTCACAGAGGATGTGAGCTTACCAAAACAATAAAATTCTTTCCTCTTTGTGTTTTTTTTTTTTTTTCCCAGTAGGCCTGCGCTACTGAAGCTTTGTCCAAAAGAGACCATTCTGGAACTTGTCCTTGTGTTGTGGTTGGGGTTGCGTGTCCTGGCCGTGTGTCCCTCCACGTGCTCCTGCACCCACAGCCACAGAGAGGTGGACTGCTCCCAGAGGGGCCTGAAACAGCTGCCTCATGGCCTGCAGCACAACATCCGCTCCCTCAACCTGTCCCACAACCAGCTTCGCAGCCTGGACGACGAGCTGGCGTCGTACTCCCACCTCCGGAGGCTGGACTTGTCTCACAACCGGCTGAGCCGGCTGCCCGAAGACCTGCCCCGCTCCCTCTGGCAGCTGCACGCCGCCTCCAACCGCATCCAGCTGCTGGACAAGAACGACACGGCCTTCCAGTGGAACCTGAAAACGCTGGACCTCTCCAACAATCATCTGCAGAGGGCCATCTTCATCAACAACACGCTGATTAATCTGAGGACACTCAACCTGAGCTGCAATCAYTTCTGGACTCTGCCCACCAACCTGCCCACACACGTGGAGACCATTGATCTGTCTCACAACCTGCTTGTGAAGGTGCTGCCCGGTTCTCTGGACCGACTGACGAAAGTAACTCATTTCTACCTTCATGCTAACCGCTTCTCCTCGCTGCCATCGGGAGTTTTGGACAAACTGGTCTCACTTAGGGTCMTCACTTTGGGCAGCAACCCTTGGGCCTGCCATCTTTATGCCGACATGGACTACCTGCTCTCCTGGACTAAGCAGACCTCGACACGAGTCCTGGGCTGCCCCTGCCACACCCAGCCCGTGTGTGGAGGGGCGCACCCCAACAGGACCGGAGGCTGGCACTTCGCCCCCTACAGCGACTCCGACCAGAGCGCCACGTCTTCTGAAGCCGCCGCGACTCCATGGTGGTACTTGTCGGTTTCTGCTTTGCTCAGCACGCCTCAACCGCCCCGCGCGACCTTAAACAAAGAGCACACCGCCTTCTCAACCACACCCATCAGCTTTTCCGCCTTGACCCACGGAACCATTAATCACCAGGCTGCAACTGACGGCCCGAATAACATCGATCATCTCATCTCTGGCACAAAGGAAGCTTCCCCTTCTGACTCCCCCCACACCTCRGACTCGTTCTATTTCTCCGAGAAAAGCCTCATTACTGACACGTCCGWGGGGAATGGCATGGGGCTGGCCACAAATCGATTCTTTACAACAGAGAGCCCCTCGGCCCAAACAAAGAGGACGACCACTCTTCGCACGAGAAGCGTGAGGAGGCAGAATCAGTCGTTTCCAAGTGGCACCAGGAACAGCGGTCCATCTCTTCCTGCCTGCTCTTTGCTCCCTTTGCTTCACACCTTGGTGCTTTTGTCTTTCACGGTCTTCTGAAAGACCACAGAGAAACGAACTTGTGATTTTACCGCAAAAAATGACTGAAAACGAGAACACTTGTTGCATCTAAAGTACCAAGTTTCCTGAAAGTTCAGACTAAAAAAGGAGAGGTTTGAAATCATTCAGCCTCATTAGATAAAATATAGTTGTGACAACACTGATGCCAGCACTGTTATTTTTATTTTGGAGAACAAGTGCATGTTTAATATGGAACTGCATCGCAACAGTTTGTGTCAGTATTTTTGAAAGATTTTGAACCACAGAAAACCGTTGCTGAGACTTAAAATATGTTTTTTTTCTCTCTCTTGATCAGATTTCATTTCCAGCAGCTCCTCATTTTGTTTGAAACCTTTGTTCTGTTAAAATGCACAAAATACTTMAGCATGTGAGAGATTCAAACCACAAGGAGGTTAGCTGGGCACCTGAACTCATTTATGTCAGAGCCAGGCAATTTTTGCCACCATTTTTGACCAGTCGGTTCGGATGTTATCAGTCCATTAAATGGACGTTATTAGCGGTCATCAGTCCCATAGAATGGCTTCAGACTGTCCCAACAGTGCCCCCTAAYGGGTTACCAGTGCCATATACCAGTGGTTCCCAAACTTTTTATCTTCTGACCCACAAAATATTCATGGCAAAAACTTGTGACCCCAAAWATTACTGGTCTGAGTACATAAACTTTGTTTATAACCCTAAAAACACAGGCTTTTTGACAATCTAAACAGCTTGTACACAAATATAAATACTTACAGTATATGTATACTTATTTTGTGTTTTTGTAATAGTTATAGGGAAAATATTATATTAGCAATTAATTTATTAACCTTTAAATTGATTTCTGGAGATTATCCAAGGTGCTTCATGACCCATTATTGGGTCCCAAGCCCAACTTTGGGAACCAAAGTGCAGTGGTTCCCAAACTTTTCAGCTTTTGACCCACAAAATAACAGTAGCAGAGACCTGTGCCCACAAGCATTTTTGGATGATAAACATTTGTATCAGGTCAACAAAACATGGGCATAGTAACAATATTTTGTTCTACATTTATCCATTTTTAAATGCACTAACCTCACTCCTCACTCACTAAGGCAAAAATGAAATTAATTCAGAAAATCTTTTCAGGACCCCACCTTGATGTTTCGGGACCCCACTTTGGGTCCCGACGCCAACTTTGGGAAACACTGCCATATACGTTGAAATGCAACAATCTGCTACCGCCTGAGTCTGGTCTACTTTATCGTTGCCCATGTCATTTTCTCTAAAATTAACCTTAGTGGCTTTGTGCCTCATATTAACCAGCTGACAGTTTGAAGCCATTCTATGGGACGGAGAATCCACTAGGCAGCACAGTCGGGACTGTCTGAAGCTAGTCTGAAGCCATTCAATGGGACTGATAACGGCTAATAAYGTCCATTTAATGGATTATCACATTCAAAGCGGGYGTTTATGACATGTGATGTAAGTCTTCTTTAAAAGGTGTGGGGTAAATAATAACAAAAATAAGCCCTGTTTGTCATTCATTATAACTGTGCCTTCACAAAGGTTTTAAAGCAGGGGTGTCAAACTCACTTTCACTGAGGGTCACATGAGTATTATGTCATGTAGTTTTCATTCACTTTGATTTTTCACATTTAATTTCAACTAAACACGAATCATCACGTTCCTTGTCCTGCTTCTGCTGAGCACTGCTAACAAACAATAACTGAGCTCTACGTGGTATTTCCTGCTTAGAAACAGTTCTTACGGCTTGATTTAAGCCATTGACACGTCTCTGAAGTTCTCATTTAAAAAGACATGGCGGGACACATCTGGCCCGTGGGGCTTGAGTTTGACACGTGTTTTAAAGAAATAGTTCACTTTCTTTTGAGTGGAGTTCTGTGAAACAATGCGAACAATTATCTTACCTGATGCAGGTAGCTTTTTGAATGGCTCCAGTTTGGAGGAACAGAATTTAAAACTGATCAAGTTGATGAGCTGATGACAAATCAGAGCRGAGCTGAGTTATTCTGGCAGGAACATTGCAGAAATCCCTGCTTGAAGGGTCTTAGAATGCACTGGAAATGCTACAGCTAGCTGCTGCTTCCATTAATTGTGCTTCCATATAAAACTATAAATTTAATTTGATGTAAATAACTGTGATCTTAAAGGTTTATAAAATGGCTCTTGCATGAACTGCGCTTTTTTAAGATTGGTGTTTTAAGACATAGYAATTCACTTTTCACTTAATTTCACTCAAACCAGCTGTTCAGCTCTTCGTTTCTGTCAAAATAAACTATTTCTCCAAACATAAGGAGTTTAAATGMTATCTGCAGSAGGTAAGATACTAATTGTTAATAACGTGTCCACAGAACCATACTTTTAAAAGGTCTGAACTGTCAGTTTAATCTAAAGGCACTCAGAACAAACTCTGAGCTCCTTCGACCCTGACTTTCTCATGTTTGTGTTTTCCCAAATTGCTTTTGAGTTTTGACTCCACAAACATTACATCACGTTGCATCATGTAGCACAAGCTTTCATCTGAAGCGATTTACAAGTGAGAAAATCAGACAAGCGATAAGCACATCAGGSGCAGCGTGGGTGGGGGTTCAGATGTTTGCCTAAAGGACACTTTGACACGAAGCAGGGATGGGGATTAACCAGATTAAACCCCCCAGTTTCACAACTGGAAGACCACCCAGCCACCGAACTACACCCTCCCTCCCCCAAAGAAAAGTTTTCCACCTTAACATACCTTCAAAAGATCACGAGCCCTGAGACGCTGCTGATAGTTTTGGATTTTGTTCAAATACAAGCTGTGAATACTGAAAGTTAAAGTGTTTCTGAACCCAGATTTAAAGAGTGAAATAAATGCAAACAGAGATTTTATTTTCTGTTTTTTATACACACTAACTGCCTTTCAKTGTTGGTGGTTTTACATAAAACCTGCAAAGTTTTTCTCGCACACCTCTTAAACATTCACCCTCTGCCAGGTGCTGTAATTATCCATTTACCAGAGTGCCCCAACTTATCTGAGACTCAGTTGCACAATAAGCAAAAGTCTTACTTTTTTTGCCACTCTGCATAAAAATATGCTACTTTTTAGTGTGTGTAAACATAATAACACTTCTGTCTAATAACACTTTTAAGTGTCTACTTGAATGTCAAAAAACTGAGGTAAACAAAGCAAAAATGAAGAAAAGGAATGTAATGAGGACAGCTTTGCACACGATGGCACTATATACATTCAGCCAGCAGCTTATGTAACTGAACGGCTGCTGCTCGTCTGCAGCTCCACTCTCTTTCAAAACTGCAAGGTGATTTTTGTTGCACCAAACTTAAGCCCCCAAACCTACTTGTCTTGGTTTCACTGTTTTCTTGTTCTTTTTTTGAAGCATATTTTAGTTCTTTTTTCTCTGAAAAAAAAAAAAAACAGGAAATTGCTAAGTCCCAATTGACTAATTCTGTCATTTTCACTAGACATTCTTGATGCTTCATTCTCTTGTATTTATCAATCCTGTAATCTTTTCTATTTAGGAGCCGTCCTCTATGCAGACAGGATGTAAACGTTTGCACTGACATGAGCACAACAGGAAGCAACAAGGACTTTGCTGAGCAGAGGGCATGCAAATGAACAATGCTTCGTCACTTTCTTTAACAAACTCCCAACTGCTGCGTCCCTTTTGTATTTTGATCACATCTTCGGATTTAAGTGTCCTTCATGATTCACCGACGCTCGTGAAAATGATCTGCATGGTGACTGAACGCTCCAGGAATGCAAACCTACAGTGCTATTGCTGCAAAGCATTAAAGAAACCCATCATTTTAGCCCCGCCCCTCTCCTCCTGCAAAACCTTTAAGATATTCAAGTCCTGATTGCATTAAACAGCTGTGATGCACCAGATTACAGATGTTTTTTTTTTCTATTTTCTTTTACAATTGAGTAACACATTTGCATAAAGAAGAAGCACAAATTGGCAAAATGAGAAGGCGCTTTTCACAGCAGGCTGCATTTAAAGACTAAAGAGAAACTTGTGCCAGGAAATCAGTTTATTGTTGGATGCTTCTCCGAGATGAATCCTGCAATGTTAAATAAAACTTAAGCATTTATACCCTCTGATTGTTGCTGGAGTTTTACCATAATTCCTTTTTGTAATTGTCAAACAAATCAGAGTCCTAATTTGTTTTCCCACTCTTTTTTTTTTTATTAGATGCAAGTTAACCAAGTTTTTCTGTTCAGGTTTCATAGTTTGTAGATTTTTTTCTTTTCCTTTTGAAGGAAAACCTGAGAGTTGAAAAGCTCAGAGGCAGAGTTTGTCGTTGTCAATGAAGACWATAAAAACTGCACAGGGCAGACCGYGCAGCCACTTTATGCTTTTTCTGTCTGCTTTAGTGAAAACAAAGACAGGTGACAGAAGAACCACAAGGACACGGATCGGGTCAGAAGTGCAGCTCGTTGTGGGACCAGTGTTCTGCAGAGAAGTGAGAACATCTCCCAAATAGGAAGTTGTGTTGCAGGGAAAGCTGGAAGCTGCTGCGGAAAATAAGACAGAAATATCTACATTTTGATGCATTTGAGCTATAAAAGTTTTAGAAGTAAGCTGAGGTCAAAGGTCATGGAGGAACAAATGCCTTTAGTCCAAGTCTTTGCACCACCTGAGATAATAAAAGTAAAGATAATGACATCAATAATAATATGGACYCAGATAATTTGAATGGTTTTTCTGATGTTTTTGTGATCCTATTTTAAAAAAATGTTCTACCGACTTGTGTGAGCGTGTTTTATTACCTGATGATTTTGACCAGTACACACAGCCTGGTGAGGACCCACTGTTTCTGATGGGGACAAAAGCCTGGTCCTTATCAGTGGGGAAATAAGGTGGGTTAAGGGTTTCTGTTGACTTTAGTTTGGGTTTTGGGTCATGGTTAGCCTTTACAAAATGACCGGTAAATGAATGGAAGTTGATTCAAAGTCCTCATGAGGATAGAAGAACAAATGTGTGTGTACGGATGTGAGATTAGCACAAAAATGGCAAAACACAGATTTCCAGATATTGGGCTAAAATTTGGTGTTCATTTCCACATATTCACACGTACTTTCTGATACTTTAGGTCTTTCCAGTTTTTTTTTTCCAATTTCTAATCTTCTAATGTTGATTTTTGTTGTAAAGATGGAGGAAAGGCTGTTGTCCCAGTGGAGATTCACAAAGGAAACATCTGCTGCTGCAAAGTGTAAACTTTCTCAAATCTTTTTTTTCTTTTAGTTTTGATTTGTTTCTCAAGTCACAGCCTTGATGTTTTTGAAAAGGTCAAACTTCCTTTGGTCAGGGACGCCACCRGAGGACCAAGGGGACAATGGCCCTGTTTAGACGCCTCTAGCCAGAGAGTCTTACACATAATCTGTCTGTTAGAAAAAACATTTCACAAACTGCTGAACACATTTCAATAAAACTTTAAGAAAGTAGTCTGAGAACTGATAAACTTTTAAGTYAGCCTGATTCAAGATGGATAMCACAGCTAATWGATAACAAAAACGATTAAACATAAAACTTTCTAATGACACCTACTTGGTTCCCCAGTCATTGCTTTGTGTTGCTTTCCTTTTCTCCCCCGACAAATGTACAGAAATACAGCAACCTACTGAWACTGCTCAAGCTTTTTCTGCCATTTAATGATAGTTTACTCCGTTAAAATCAGAGTAAGAGAAGTCTGGATGAGGCTATGCCCAAACTTTTACATTACCGTATGTATATATTTATGTTTCCACCTCCCTCTCACTGYGTGGAACCTTAAAACATCTCCTCCAAGTGCTTTAGGTGCCGGCGAGTCGGCCTGCGAGCCAATTATTTCCTCTGTAGACGGCACAAAGTAATGTCAGCTTTCTCCTCTGGCTTCTCCTAATAACTGACAAGGTGTAAGAGGGCGAGCAGCATTTACTGCTGCCAGGCCTCCCCTCTTCATCTCACCACCCGAGCTTGTTTGGAGCGACCCCCACACCCCACCCACACAAACACACACCAGCTTACCTGCAGCCACATGCAATGAGCATCGCTCTCAGTGCACCCTGTTTTTTTTTCTTGGTCATTTAATTTACTTCACTTTTATGTACCACTGTGTTTAGACAAAAAAAGGAAAATAATAGCCCTTTTGTGTTGCATTAATAAAGCGTGCAATCATTGTACATGAGGAGTTTTCACTTTCGACATCTGTGTTGCTGAAAGGTCAATTTGCTTTTTTTTTAACAGACAAAGCTGTCTCCCCCTGCTGCGTTTGTTAGAGTTTACCTGGAACGGCTCCTCTTCTCTGAGGCTTAATACAAAAAAAAAAAAAATAGAGAGAGAGAGAGATAGTCCACAAAGCAGCTCAGCATTTTAGCTCGCTCCACTGCAATCTGAGGAATACACAGTCCCCACCTGAGTGAGACAGGTCACGGTGCCTCTGTGGACCCGGTGAACCTGCATGGTGCAGGTTAGTGTTTCTGCACACAGCTTTCAAACTCCAACAGGAAACTCGGCACTCTGAGTCACATGAAGGTAGACAAAGACATGCAGGGGTGGTAATCAGCTGTTCTCATGAATGAACATGCTCTAAGTGCCCTCTGGTGGTGACATTGCTCATTTTCAATAAAGGTTATAGTCAAACTGGCCTTAAAACCCTCAATTTACTGAACTGACAGGATATTTTAGCCTCAATGGGACGCCTGTGTTAAATTTCCAGCTATAATGACACACAAACACAAAAATGTGTATATTTTAAACACAAAAAATAAAATTAAAAGCCTAGAACTCTATGGAGGAAGTTTTAATTTAATACCATATCATGTTGAGAAACGGTGTTGTAGCCACTTTGGTAAAATGTTTAAATTACACTATGTGCAGTCTTTTGTCCCCTCTTTTTTCACATTCTGAACCAGTTTCTGCTACTTTCAGTCCAAATTTTAGGTGAACATCTGAAAAACTGACTGAGATGTAGCTATTTGAGTGTTGACTCTTTTTTAATTTGAGCATTAGATGGACTCCAAAAGTTAATCAGTCATGGATGAACAGCTAATCATTGCTTTCTGAAAGTTTCATTAAAACCTGCACAGGGGGGTCATGAGGTACTTTGATAACAGACCAATGGGGTCCACTCCCACGGCTAATGCTGAAGTTTTAGGCAATGAGTATCACTTGAAGTATGTGTTGTGAAGGACCCTCATCTACAACCATTTTCAGTGTTTTGCTCAATATCTAAGAATATGATTGACTGTAGCCAGTTTCATGTCTGCTAAGTTCGGTTGACTGGAGCGGCCATCTTGAATTGGGTCCACTCTAAAAGCTGATCGGTGGSGATGCATTAATTGATCATTTCCTGAAAGTTTCATTAAAACCTGTTAAGTGGCTCATGAGATATTTTGCTACAGACAGAGTTGATTGCATTTAACTAAATCAAAGTGTGAAAGTTGCAACAAACAACCTGCAGAGCAAACGACAACGAGTATGTTGTACTCATCACTTTTGTGACACATGCAAAACAAAAATAAATAAACTTACCTCCACAATGCCTTCTCCCGGCAGCCAGCTTTTTTTTTTTTTTTTTTTGGCCAAAACAATGGCACCAATTTCGATCTGCTTTGATCCTCGGTCACATTATCAATCGTAGCCTGGAATTAGGCTGGTACCCGAGCAAAGGACGCTGAGACGCTGCAGATAAACTTTATCTGATCAGCCTAATCTGTATCGACAGCCCGGGTCTATATGCCAAAGCTCAATATCTCTTTGAGCCACGAGCGCCGTTTTTCAGTCTGGGTCCTGATGGGCTGGAAAGCAAAGGCAAAAAAAGAAAAAAAAAAACAGTGTTGGGATCTGGAAGGAATAACAAGCCGGCGCAAAAAAGACTGATGAGACAGGCAAAATTCAAGCCCTGCAGCGTGGTGGGGGAGAGGCTTGGGTTGTGGTATCTCTCGCTCTCATCTCAATGGCACAGACAAGGCAAGGTCAGTGTTGAGGTCAGCGGCTGCAGAGTGGGAAGTGGTTGGCAACTGAGAGAATGTGTCGTGGCAGCCAGTTAGGGAAAAAGAGGAGAGTAAAAATGAAACTATAGATAGTAAGGAATGATTAAAAAAAACAGGAAGAAGGCAGAAAAAAGCACTTTATGTTTAAACGTGTGTCAGGCAGAGCATCTTGACTCAAACAAACCAGCTCCAACACTTTTAAGCTTGTCTACGTTATTGTGTTTCAAACAATATACACATTTAAATACGCCTCTGTTTTTTCTAGTGGTGTGAGCAGGCAGCACACCAGTGGCTGGCACCGATGAATCACAGCAAATAGGTTCTGGGTTCAATTCCTGGTTCGGAGCCTGGGGTCTTTCTGTGCGATGCTTTTGTGTTCAAGTGGGTTTTCTCTGGGTACTCAAGTTTACACTCCACAGTCCAAAAACATGCACAAAAAACTATATATATATATAATTTGTTCTGTCTCTGTAGTCACATAAACAGCAGCCAGAAAGTTCCAGGAGGCTGCAGGAGCTTATCTCCCAGCCTAGTGAAGCAGGTAAATGATGACATCATCCACTTTATCCTGGAGCCTGATTGGACTTTAAAAACAAACATGTAAGTATAAATCACCGAGGTCTGAAAGGAAGATTTTCTGCAGCTGACCAAGAAACAAGACAAACTGCATTTTCTGCAAAAAGTGCAGTGAGTGCTGAATTGCTGAAATTTGCTTAAAAAGCTGAAAATGACTTCAAGCAGAATGCTAGTTAAAAGCAAAAAAATCAAAACACTAAGGGTCAAAAGTAGCTAAACAATCTAAAACTAAATTGTAGCAAAACATTAGGTAAAAATTATAAGTACAAAAAGACTAGCTAAAAATAGCAGTTTAAGGCGAAAGCTAAAAGTGGTAGAAATCTTGCTTAAAGGAGTAAAACACKAACTACAAGTAGCAAAGGGTTCATTGAAAGGTGAAATAACTTCCCAAAAGCTAAAAGTAACGGAAGGCCGGCTAAAAACTAAAATAAATTATCTATGAGCAAACAGGAGCAGGACACAAGCTAAAACCAGTAAAAGTTCAAAAGTCTCAGAATATACAGTAGCATAAAAGCAGCAAAAGGCTATCTTGAAGCTTCAATTATCAGTATGGTAGCTAAAAGTAACAGAAACTAGCTAAAGTACCTAAAGGCTAGCTATGAGCAAAAAGA